TTACATATACATTTCTGGAGTTCCATTGATTTGGAGGATGCTGTGTATTCCAAAGTGAGAGTCCATCATGTATTTGCCTCTTGAAACAAATGTGGATCTTGTTCATATGTTTTGATGTTCAACTCGAATAGGTGGATTTTACTCACTTCAGTTCTGATGCTGAAAAAGTATTCACTGGAGGTTTAGATGATCTGATTTTTCACAATAAATGTGACTTAATGTGATATTTATATTTTATTTGGGAAACAACCTTCACTTCACTTCATTTAAACTTTTATCAGATATTTAAAATATGATTTATTGGAATGGACCTACTTTGATAGCACTTCTGATGCCACTATTTGGGGTGATGCGGGAACGGCGTTAATGCTCCACTGTTACATTTCTTGGCAGATTACCAGCTCCGGACGAACTAAAGGGCACAGCTGCTGCTGCTAGACGAATGAGTAGTTTCTCCTTCTGCCTGTCTCCATCTCCTCTGTCTCCATTTCTCCAGCTTGGAGTCAGGAAACGACAGCTGAGGACAAGAGCAGGAGGACATCTGAACATTTTCCCCCCACTGTAAATGGTCACTGTAAATGATAACTGGAAGTCATGTCTTCTGCATTTACAATCTTCAAAGATGGAAGAAGTGTTTCATCACCTCTGACCTGCATTTCATCGAAAGGTTTTCCAGGACTCTAGCGAAACGTTTTTATTACATGAATAATAAATTAACAACTTTGGTTCACACTTCTGCTCGTCCACGTTTAATGTCATATTTCTGTTGGTTTAGCGTACAATTTTAGTAAGAACTTGACATTTTAAGTGTTACTCATGATGTGATGTTTCGTATGTATAACGTAAATTAACTGAGTGCATGGAGGAGTAGCAACTCTGAGCTAAAGCAGATTTTTATTTCTAAGAGGGACATAGATAATGGAGATTTGTGATATGATCAATTTAAAATGTGCCATGTGCTTCCAATTTCTCTTCTTCAGTGGAGAACATTACCTTGTTGCTTTATGCAGGATCGTAACCACAGCTTTAAATCAGTCGGCTCATTAAACTGTCAAAATTCCCATTCCCCATATTTTTTGTCATTAATATTTCGATCACTTTGAAACATCACTGTGATACAGTTTTATCTCTGATATATATTCTGCCTGAACCGCAATACTAGTTCAGGGCCCTGAAAATGTCTGCCATCACCACAGGCACTGTGAACATAATCCTCAGTGCACTGAAACCAACACCAGCAACCAGGTCAATGATTAATAAGGCACAATATTGTCAGAGGTATTGACTGTGAGATAAAACCCACTGACTGAGGTTATAACCTTGTTCCTGCTGTTGAAATCTGCTTTACAGCTTTGAAACTCTCCAGGAAGAAGCATGATAAATATATATATATATATATATATATCTTGATCTTATCTCTTGTTTACGCAGCATTATTTTATCCAGTTTGGATTCGAGCATCAAAGAACAAATGGGTTAAGAAGTCTGAACAATGTGACGGGAAGGGCTATGGTAGAATAGCTTTTTTTTTTTACTTCACAAAGTATTGACTTTGTAAACTTTTAACTCTTACCAGTAGTTTTCTTTTGCTGTCTTTTGACATCTGGCTTTTACGCTATTTTTGGACCCGTTTGTGATACTTAAAACTCACTCTCTTTTATAGATTTTAAACAGTTGGCTTTAGAATATTTTTAAGGGCCTCTATTGCAATCAATCCTGCATCTTGGATCAGAACAAACATAAGTGGACCTTTTTTTTTTTTTTTAAGTGTGTGATATTGTCTGGTTTATTTATCAACTGCTTGTCCATAGGAAACAAAGGGATATATTTGGAAATAAAAAAAATTTTGTAACTAGTCTTGAAAGTTTGCTTCCTTGCTTTTTACCAGACCCACTCCTACTTTGCAAACAATGTTAGAAATTGACTAATATAATTATAAGACGATCTTCCATTGAACCATTTGCAACTCAATGTATTTATGTCACACCTTTTATCCATTGGTAAAACATGTTCTTTAGAACCATATTGTTTCATTCTAATTCAGAAAGTAATAGCATATTTTCTTAGACGTCTTCACCGCTCTCTCAATCATTCATCGCATTGTTGAACGCTGTTTTGCCATCAGATGCAGATTTATGTTTTCTATTCTGAGCAGATTTGCACACCTGGATTTGGCAGTTTATTTCTTTCTGTCTGGCAGAGACTTTTGAGCTTTGTCAAACTGAAGAAATGGGCCACTCAAAAACAGCCAGATGATTATTTTCTTTAAGTGCCTCTCAGTATATGTATGTATTCATCCCTGTCAGCCCTGAAAAATACGAGTGTCCTAGACTTATTGTAGCTCCGCCATCCTGCACTTTAGGGATGTTTGTCAGTCCAACAGTAATGTGCAGAAGTCTTCAACCAGCTCTCCTTTCCATGGATTTTGCTCCAGATACCATTTAAAGATTTTGGACAGTGGTTATTTATGCATTCAGAAACTCTGTAAAAGCATCTAAAAAGTCCAAATCTGTCTTTGTGCATCTGAATCACGCTAACAACACGAAGACCTCTGAGATGCAGTCACAGGTATTGGTTTGTATGTGTGCTGTGGGGGGTGTGCAGGCAACACACAACTCTTACTAATGATGCTATTGTCTGTCAGCTTGTGCTCCTGTGAAAGCACACACCGATGTGGGGCTGCCAGACTCCTATCTGAGTGAGTTAGCTACTGCAGTGGCAGTTTTATAGGTACACCATGTCATCACAACCAGTTTGAAAAGGCCTTGAGTTTGACTTTGTAAATTTTTTTTCACCCACTATCAGTTTACTATGAGATTGTCCATAAATATCTTAGAGGGTTTTATTTCTTTGTCTCTGAGTCATTAAAGTCACAGAAATGCAAGATACAGGGTCAGCGTTGGATTTATGTGTGTGTTGTCCTTGGAGCTCTGTTGTCTACTGGTTGTGACTAATCAGAACAGACGGACTTTTTCTTCTTGCTTTAAGTCCTTTTCTGGTTGGTTGCTCAGCCGAGCCATCCATTTGAATCTCCGATGAACGGAGGTGCCTCTACACTTTTTCCAATTAACAATTATTGAGGCCACTGAGCTCCAGGGATTGCCAGAAGCTTTTTAAATTCTCTTTTGCTCTTGTCAGGGTCTATACTTTACCACCGTTTTATCAGTCGGGTCTGCTGGGACTTTCCCGTGCTTTATAGCTTACTTTCTATCCTTAAATGCATTGAGTTATTGGGTCTTACAAACACAAGTGAGTGTTCCCCCAAAATTCCATCCAAGTTCATGTAGAAGTAGATTTTAAAGCAAAAATGATGCAACTGAACAACACTTTACAATGTCAACATTTTCTGAATATTATGTTTGAGTACCGTATTTGTTTTTTTTTATTTGTAAAATAAATTTCTCTTTTAATTTCTTCATCTCATCTGGGGGTGATTGCCATCGCTGGACACATTTTATACAAGCAAAAATCACAACAGCTTTTATTTTGTTTGTTGTGATCAGTGGTACTAGCCTACACCAGCCCCTAAAGATTATGGCCTTGTGCATTGTTCTTTCAGTCTGCTGTCTGTCATCTCACCAACAATGGCAAACTGTTTGACCCTGTTTGTCTCAAGGAAGCAAGATGTGTGTTTGTGTTCAGACAACAAAGCGGCATGATCAGCATGAACACTTGGATGAAAAACAATGAAAATTTGTTGTTTATCTGAGATTAAATAAAACTGAACGACTTGTCAAACTTTTAACAAAAGTAAAATAGTTTTTCAAGAAAAAAAAAATCCTGTTTATCAAAGCATCTCTGCTTTTCAGCTCTTTTCTTTCTTTTACTAAACAGACCTCATTACTGCAGATGAGGCCCCAATCTGTCTATCCAATTCAGTTCTGAAACTTCACTTGGAAGGATGTTCCACTAAAGTAAAGAATTCTGGTCAGATGTTTACAAGCACACCATATTATGTTGGACTTTTAATGATGCATTTTCAGCTCTGACGTTCAAAGTGTGACGTTGTTGTCCCAACAACCTCAGAGGCTTTCTGACATTTTTGTGTTTGTAGCCATCCCCAAGGCTTTGGTATTATTCTGGCTGGATATTTGACCACTGCTGGTTAGTTTTCTGGCACAAGACTGACATTTAAGAACATTTTTAGTTTTTTCAAAATGTGTGTTGGAGATCATTGTCTTATGAGACACTCAAAGTATCAACCATCTAACCTTCTGTACAGCATAGAGAGATTACCAGTGTTAGGAAGATTTTCCAATGATGTCTTAAATACGGCATTTTGAATGATGTGACATTATGCTGTTAAAAAACACAGATTTCTGAGATGAACCAGAGATGTTGTGGCAGTGGGAGTGATAATTTCAGTCTCATCTGTCAGCTGGGAAGAATGACCATATAACCATTACTTATATTATCTCAGCTATTAGAAAAAAAAGTGAAATCCAAACATCCTAAAAGAATATCTCAGCTAATGTAGATGTCATTAGAACAGAGATGATAACAGATATTCCTATGGCTTTCAATCATTCCTATTGGAAAAACATAAAGAAAGCAACAACAAAAAAACTAGGGCCTAAGACAAAGTTTCAAAGAGATCACTTGTGACATGATCCAGTTTTTGTTTTTTTGAAGCAGAGAAAATTTACAATAAATACAAATGCATCTTCACAAATAAACTTGCATAATGTGTGAACATTTCACCCTGGAAGAAGAACCACGCAGCCAGAAGAAGAACTAAATTCATGTCATTGAGTGTTGTTCTGAATAAACAAGAGCTTGAAAAACATTCATAATCACCACTTTCCATTGAAAATCTCCCCATACTTTTTTCTCCCATTTGTATTCCAGATTGTGTTTTTATCTTGAACAATTACCTATTATTGAGCTGATATTAGTCAAAGGTTTTGTCCAGGGGTCTGATGAATAGTTTTTGATGTGAATTAGCATAATGTTGAATGCAATACCTGCAAAATAAAACGGACCCTTTAAACAAGCAGATGTTACTTTTAAGACATTTATTACAATCCATTTAGCTGCTGCTCATAGCAACAGCTGCTGCCACAGTTGCAACGTGCTGAACTGTAAATTTTTGTATTCTCTCTGAATATTCAGAATCACTTAAAATAACATTCATCCTCTTATTAAAAAAATGTCCCCTTTCTACTTTAAGTTGATGCTCTTCATAACACCAACTTCTCATCAGTTGTACCAATGTTGGCAGAGATTCTATACATAAATAAACAGAATTAAAGGCCAGATTTCATACACTTTAAATGTTTTCAACAATATTAATATACAAGTATGTACAGTCCCAACCAGATATGTAGCTACTCTGTATAAAAAGATACATAACCATTTTTTTCTCACTGACATTAAAGCAGATCAATATCTTCCAAATAAGAATAACTGAAATAATTTTGTTTTGCTCATTTCCATATTATTTAAACATTGTTTTTTTTTTTTTTTACTTTGTTTATATCAGAGGTTTATGTAGATTTCCATGGTATTTGGTACAATTTTCTTTTACCACAAATAAGTTGTCTCAAACATTCTGGGTGACTTATAATGGGATTAAAATCAGGAGCGTACGATGGCCGTTCCAGAATATCGTCATGATCACTTTGTAACTAGTAAATGGTACCAAACGTGTAAACCAGACAGGGCGGCCCATTCTTTTCCTGATATTTTGACAAATTTCCATTCATTGTCCACAATGTCACACCAGGTTTTAGCTGTTGTCTTGTTTTTATTCAATCTTGTGATGCTTCCAAAGCCATGAAATAATTTCTCAAATTGTTTAAAGTTCCTTTTGAACTTCTGACTTTGATAAACGCAACAAGAAAAACATGAATAATGTTGTCTTAGCTGACTTACGATGACATAAAATAGTTATGTCTTTTTATACAGTGTATGTAAATAACTAATTTCAACTGTATTATTTGTATTATTGTCATCATTGTGCTTCACTGTTATAAAATATTTGATCTTTACTCTGTAATCCATTGGCTTCATTAAATTTCCCAAATGTTTTCATTTTTCTTTCATGCACATTTGAATGAAGAAAATAATGAATCTTGTTTTTTTTTTTTGTAAATCCTTTGATAGTTCAGGTTAAATTTTCTCCAATAAAGTTGGAAGAGGAGCCATCCAACATGGCTTCACTGCAGTCAGACCTCATATGAGGTTGGCCAAGCTGGAGGCGGTCTCCCTGCGAGCGTGGTGGTCCATGTGTCCAGACACAGTAAACACATTGAGAACTCGATCTACAAGTCTCCGTCCGTGCCTCGACCTCCCCAGCAGGACAGCCACCACCGTGTATATTCCAACGCCAACGACGGCACCTCCTCCACCCACCAGCAAAACCATTCCAGAAATGTACATGTCATTGAGGGCTTGGCCCGGCTTCGGCATATGGTGAACCAGCGCCAAATGCAGGAGAACGCCTCCACAAATCAACAGCGACATCCCAGTGATCAGAACCACCAAGATGTCGGACAAGCCGCCGCTCTTCAGCATGTCTATCTGATGTCGACTGCGGACGCAGTTCATGTCCTGCACGGCCGAGCTGAGCAGCTGCTTGAGCAGGACACCCAGGGCCAACAAGCACAGGGCCGTGCCGGCGCCGAGCCGCCATTCGCTCGATACGCTGGTGGTGGTGGAGAGAAGGCCGACGCCTCCAAGTCCGCAGCCCAGGATTAGGAGCACCGAGACACAGTAGCAAAGTAAAGACCGCCCAGGGTCTCTGAACCACCACAGCTCCACCTGCTCCTCAAGGATGCTGTGCTGAATTTGGGCTGGGTCCGCTGGACCGTTAAGGCCCAGATCTGGGCTTCTGTCTTCATTCTGAGGAGAAAAGTTGTCCAACTCTGGCATCCTGCTACCCCCTCCCAACCTGCTGAATATGGACGACAGCAGAATCCACCAAAGACCTTGGTCTTTTATCAGATTTCTCGGTGGCAAAAACAAAAGAAGATTCCAGATGATTTAAATAAAATATTCCTAATTCTAAAGGTGGAAATCTAAAACTCTACAGGATTTGTAAGCCTCCTCTAAGCCCAGTGTATTTGGACCTTATCGGCACCGGTGTGTACAAAAAGGTCCCAGAAAGTCATCTTAGGTCGGTTGCCTCTGTGTGAATGAAAATCTTTATAGCCCACAGCCAGTGGATACAAATTGTCCTTTAGTGCATCAATATTCAAAGCAAAGAATCCGGGCAGCAGCAGCAGAATTTTTAGTTTGTCCCTCCACGGCGGCAGCAGTCACCTGGAAGATAAGACAGACATATATTCAGTAGTGTGTGGGGTTTATTTTCTCATGGGTGCCCTTTCTGCCACTGATTCTGAGATCTGTGGCAAGCACGCTGCAATGACTGACTGGGTACATTTATTCTGTTCCTAACCAGACAATAAATCACTGCACAGAAATAGATCCAGTGCTCCTCCATTTTTCTTCCCCACCAAGCCCATGCAGAGAGGCACTTTACTAAAATGCCTAAATATGCACAAAATCTTAAATCAGGTTAGAGTTTGAAGTATTAAAGCTCCACTGAAAAAACAACAGTTCGTAAAAGTGTCTGGTCGGCACATGATATAGAATCTTTATCATTATATGCTGAGTAAAGGAAAACTTTCAGCCTCATTTCTTTGCAGATCGTAAAATTGTGGATTTCTTTCATGAAACAGACGAAACAGATCAACAGTATTTGAATAAAATATTTTGCACACTGCATGATTGACATCTCAGTTGGTCAGTTGTTCTCCCAGCACACTGGCACCTCTGAGTAAAATTAGTAAAGGTTTTCTCCAGATTCTCCATCACAAATCTTCTCACATAAGGCTCATCTTATATTTATTATTTTATTTTTGCTGTATTGAGGGTTTATAGCTGTTAGGCAGAAAAAGCTTTCTGATGGCGTACTATTAAAGAAATCAACATATAGTTTGGATCTATAGATCCTTTAGTATGGATTTTTATTAGAAATCATTGGAGATTTAGATATCATCATCCTGTCCCAACACACTGTATAAGGTGTTGGGATCAACATAGGTCATCATGTTTATCACATAACATTACGACAGGATTCTCGTGCAGTTTTTCTGAACACTCAAACTTCGAGTTCAGACTGTGTGAAAAAAATAAATAAATAAAAGGAAACACAAACTTGTGCTGACTCCAGCAACCTTTTCTATTTCTCATTATCACTATGGTAATGAGCTGCCACCACGGCGGCGGCTCGGTAAAAAGAAGGATCAGCTTCCTATGGAATAAACAATTTGTGTTTAAAGACACAGATGAAATTCTGGAGTTAATATATAAACTACTTTTTTTTAGTTTTTTTTTTTTTTCCAAACACAAACTCATGCAAGAATACCAGCTGAGCCTTAATATCTTATGTGCATTCCCAATGCCTTATATGAGGGATTAGATTATGATCCTTATATATGACCCCACATATTCAATCCCATCTTCTCTCCTTTTGTCATTTCCCTGATGCTCTGCAAATTCTGCCTCTGCGACGTTATTTGTAACCTTATCCAAGCCCCTTATCAAAATCATGTTAACACAAACAGTACACACTGGAAGACTAAACAGCCACAAGGTTATGGCAGTCAACAGCTTGCCTTTAAAAACCTGTCAGCGGCTCTGTTTCCATCAAAGTCACTGGTGCGCAGCATGGGTCTGTGCGCGCCGACGTAAGCTGACAGGAGTTACAGCTTGTCCTCGCCAGTTGTTGATCTCACAAACACAAATGTCGCTCTGGCAAACAAAAATCTATAACAGTCTGAGTAAACAAAACATGATCTTGCTTTCAGTTTTAAAATTTGAGGGGTTTTTTTGTTTTTTTTTTACTCCATTTTTGAGAGAACCATATTGGAACCAAACACATTTATTTTCTGACTTTTTGAGGGGAGAATAATTGACAAAAAAACACCCAAAATGCTAAATGTGAGATTGGACAGGTGTTACATTGCGCTGATGCAGAGCAATAGCAACCTGACATGGGGAGATATAGGGCGCATAACCAAGGTGTGAAAGGAAGAGTGAGGTAATTACAGCAGAGCAGGGGGTGGGAGGTGTTTATTGGCAACAAGCTGTCCTGGAAGCTCTTCACATCCTGTGTCTGATGAATAATTAGGCTAAAAACACATGCATGCCTTGTGTGTGTTTATAGCTGCCAACAGTTGTAAATGAATAGCGAAAGGTGACAATATGAATGTAGCGTCGCTTTATTACTTGTGTGCAGTGACTGCATTGTGTTTGTCAAAGAAAGACATAAATGAAGATACATTTGGTGTGTAAGTCATGTGTGTGAGTGTGTTTGTGAGTCACTAATTAATCCCAGCTGGTTTCAGCTCAGTGTCAGTGACAGGTAAGGCCACAGAAATAGCACCATAATTGAGTTGTATGTGTGCGTGTTTTTTTTTTTTTCTACTGTCTGAAAGGTTGAGCCACCCAAGGTGTAAAGCTGAGAAGAACCATCCTTTATACTGAAGCACTATGTACAGCTAACTTTTACTGAGCCTCCTTGATTTATGCTGCACCGTTTCATGAAATATTGTTTTTATTTCCTTCAAGAGCCCCGAGAAACATAAAGCAGAGAAGCCACCGGATGACTGAACCAGAGGCAATGGTATGCAACAAAGATCATAAGATAAAATCGAACCCTTAATGACACAACTATATCTTGTGTTGTGTTGGCCACAATCTCTTCACCACAGACACACAGAGAAGCACAACTGCTGGCCTCTGTCTGCTTTTCTGCTTTTATCCATAATGTGACCTCTAAACTCTGTCATATCAGCTGTGTCAGATTGGTGTCATAAATATCAGTAGAAAAGCACTGACTCACTGCTTCCCTGACCTACTTTAAAGAAGCAGAAAGCTGATACAGAGAAGCAAAGAATTAAAAAACTATGGGACCGAGACGTCTAAACATGTCTGTGCTGGGCTCATTTGAGCATTGCTACAAGGAGTTGAGGTTTTTAGTTTAGTTCATTCTAGGTTCCAGAAGAGTAATAGGCATTCCTGTTTGACACATCTGATAAGAACTTAAAATACGGTGAGGAAAGCAGTAACAAATCTCCTGTGAAACAAAATAACCTGAAAAACAAAGACAAACAAGCAGTATGTCAAATTGTATGATAAATGTATGATAAGTGTATTATTATATTTTCCCAAACGACGTCTTACAGAATATCTTCACAGACGTACAGTTATATGATTGTTTTATTACCATTAGATATATTAAAAAGGATGTAGCCAGATTCTTAGAGATACATTTCTTGATCTGTTTGACATTTCTTATATTGCAAAGATTTTACCTAACATTGTGACTATAATGACACAGATAAATGTCAATTATTTTAAATGCATTTAACAAAATAACTGATGCTTAAAGATACCTTAATGCTAAAAGTGAGAACTTCACATCTTAGTAGTTATTTTTTTTGTCAGTTTTAATCCACAGCATTTCAGCTATTTATTTGTTTTGTTGATGTAACGGTGAACTAACAACTCAAACAATCTGACTAAAGAGACAATGCTATCATATTTAGGATTTAAACCATGCATGGAAGATGAGCACACATATTGCATGTGTGCAACCAATACTTCTAAAAAGGAAATAAAATTATTTCCCTATGTAACCTTCATATAATACATACACACACACACATTTTTATCTCTGTTACACCTACAAAAAATTGCTTCCCAATGGAAATGTGTTGAATAATTTCAAGTAAGCTCTTCTAAGTGAAATTATTAAAAATAAATGGGGGAAGAGACATTTCCTCATCCTTCCAAAAACAGTCTATTTGAAATGTGTTGTTCCCTGGACAAGCTGATCCACTTCCTGTCTGTATGCAGACTCATCACTGTCCTGGATCAGACCAGTAGCAGCGGTGACATCTGCAAGTTTCACAGATCATTCCATCGAGGAGCGACCGTTTGTGTAAAGAAAGGAGGTGCATGGGGAGAGAATGTTTCTCTTTAGAAACGTGGGCTTTAGTAATTTGTGTTAAGCATTTTTGCTCAACATCAGATTTTCAATGTAATGTCATCGTTTTTGGCAGCTTTGGCTCCATCCTCATTTGCCTTGTACTCAAATTAGTCCGCTCTTAAACTATTAAAAATCAGTAGAAAACTGCACACCTCAAAACTTGTGATTAAATGACTGATGCTAAAAGACGTAATTTCTAAAAATGTTTGTCTCTTAGCTGACAGGAATAATAAATGTGTTCCAGATGCTTCAGTATAAACTGAAGTGAAAAAAGTCAGATACTCATTAATAGCCTAACAGTTTTTGTTATGCTAATTCACAGAGAGTAAAGACGACAACTCTCAAAAGACATTGTAACTGTAAACCCTGTACACAGAGTATCATTCTGCCTCCTTTTCTCTGCATCCCCTCTGTTTCCAGTCTACTAGGTCATCAGAGGAGTTGTGCCTCAGAGTAAAACATGTATACTGCACTCCAATTACCTGGGAAGCTTTGGGATGCCGGTATTCCCCTCTCTGTTATGTTGGCCAGCTGGATTCATTTCACTGGCTATTAGTACTTCATTTATTGTGGAACGTGGCTCTCTTAAAATTGGTTGCCTGGCATTGCATGTTCATCTGAGTCCTGATCATTTGCAGAGAAACGTACAAAACAGGATCCAATCAGGCAAAGTTTGGCATCAGGAAAATGAATCTGATAATGCTCCTGTGCAAAGTTAATAGCCATGTATCGCATACATGAATGTCACAGGTAACAGGAGGGAAAAGCACACCCACAGTGTGTGAAGTCCCACAAGATTTCTTTCTTCTGGTTTCCTCAGGTGAAACAAATTATTGACTCAGTTCTCTCAGTCCGTTTCCATTTGGTGCTCGCTTCTATCTAAAATTAGTGTTCAGTCTGTATGTCATAGAAAAATGGTTTTCCTCCTATATCTTTGGTTTCCTCATCAAGTATTTTGATGACGTCTTGCCCAGACAAAAAACCAGCTAGAGCAAGATTTTTCTGTCCAACACCCAAAGTAAAAACATGCCAAGGGGAAAACATGGGCTGAACTTCCCACTGCGCGTGATTTTATCCAAGAGCATCGACTACAGCTGATGGGGAGTCCACAGGAGATTGTGTGATGTGTTGCCGCGGTGACAGTGTGATGCTCTCCTGCTTTTCCTGTTCCTTTTCTTCACGCTCACTCTCACTCCAACCCCCGCCCCTCTCCTTTACTCAGGCGTTGAATCTCTTGGCGTCCCCATGGGCGAAGAGAGGGGTCAGGGTTGGCTCCATCTGTCTATGTGATGGGCACTGGTGCCAAGAGCCACAGGGGCTTGAGGGAGAGGAGGCTCGTGTGGATTGGTAGGGTAACGGATGTTTTTGAGCTGTCATGTGGGACTTCAAATGGGGGATAAGGCTGGGAAGTGGATTGAGGCTGAGGGGGAGGAATAGGTGTAAAGCGGTTTGAGAAGAAGGGGCTAAGGATGAAGGGAATTGCTTGGGGCTAAGGACACTGCTTTTCTGGGTGGATTCTGTTCTTGTCGACCAAGAGCAATGATGCTGAATAGGTCTTTATGTAGACAAGCTGGACTTTTCTTTTTTTCTCTCTTCTGATACAATGGACAGGCGAGGACCTCAGGGAGCCTCACTCTATCCGGAAACGGTGCAGAGACAATGGCCGAGTCAGTGTCACTGTCCTCTCTGTCAGGAATCACAAAAGAAAACCTAAAAGAGGCAGAAAGACAGAAATACTTTTTACCAAAACAGGACCTTCTGTTCTGTAACTGACTCTGAGGTTGCATCTAACATCCCATCTGCAGTAGAAAGGGTACACACCCACATGATACAAACAGGACTTTGTATTTGAGTGTTACACAAATTGTTTTAGAAAGTATTTTGTCTTATATGTCACAACTATTAATGAGTTCTTCATTTAGAAATTCAATAACCTGGTTGCATAAATGTGAACACCCTTAAACTAATACTTTGATAAAGAACCAACAAAAGTTTGAACATGGGAAACAACTCGGCGTAGTCTGCGGAAAACTTGAAAAACCTTTAGAAGGTTTGACAACTACTGATCATTAAAACTTTAAAAGTATTTTTGAAAACTTGCAAAACAATAAGTGTATATAATACAAGTTATATAGTAGAGTATTTGGGATGTAGCAGGGTTTCCTGTCATGAGATCGATGGGAATTAAAATATAATACTTTTGAACAAAGTCAGGTCTGTCTAGTGAAGTGCCATCCAGTCCCTGTAGTGGTTTAAGGTTTCACTATGAAAATGTGTTACCCAGGAAATCCTGAAGTCGCTATGCTTAAGGCTTATTTTAAGTACAAATGGATGTTGTTTTTCACCTGTTTTGTTGTTTAGACTAATAGATTTCTCATTCTGCCAGCTGGCAATGTCATGTCTCTACATTCTGTTTCTACATTTAAATAGTTGGCCACAAAGCAAATGTTTTTTATCAAATCAGATTTTAAGCATTATTGAAGGTTCACTCCTCTCTCCCCAACTATAAACACATGTGGGCAGTAAAAGACTTAAATGACAGTGGTAGAAAACACCAAAGAGGCATATCACAAACTCAGTACCAGTGTATTTTGTTCCACTTCTTTAATAACCTTTATGGAAAATATCTTAACTTTTAGGATGGATGATGTAAAATCTGAGATTCTGTAGGGATGCAGATCCTAATAGGTGAGTGACACGTTAACCCATCATATTGCATCATGAGTTCAAATGTTTTTATTGCTAGTTTGTTTTTTGTTTAGCACCAGATATGTATTCCTATCAACCTCTGTTGCACTTTATAAAGCCAGAGTCTGAATTTCAGCAAACCATTTTATCTTTCATGGGACAATTTAATGGGGCTACCTGTGTGAATACAGACTTTTGTGAAATTTTATTATATTTTAAACTTCCCATTTACACAATTGTCTCAGCCAGATTAATTGAGACATTTACTGACTAAGATATTTGATCAATTTTGGGTTAAGAACAGCCTCTGAGCAGCCCATAAAGCTAACGACTTTTCCTACTGACACACTAACTACATGAAAACACAAACACATATTTATCTCCATCTTTTTTCCCTCCTACACCTACTTCTCTGGCATAGAGCTGCAGCTATAGGCACCTGCTCCTGTGCGCCTCTGTCTCATCACCAGGCCTCCTCGCAGTGGCCACTCGATGTTTCTCGTTTGTGCTGCTTGTTGGAGTTTTGGTGCAGCAGACAAGGTGAGTAGATGGGGGAGGTAAGATTGCCTGCCACTGCCACAGATCCTCATCTGGATCCAAGCAAGAGATTGTATGACTCAAATGCCCTTGTGGAATAATATATGCTAACATAAACAACTGTTTTCCTGTGTCAACATTATCTGTTCTACCTCAGTAAGGTCTTACAGAAATGAATGTCACCAGTAAAAGCCTAGGTTTTTAAAAAAGTAAGACTGCTTATATAAATTTGTATCAGTTTAACATAAGAAGACTGTCAGTTTCTGTTGATAAAGATAAAGTCTAACACTATCTGATTCAGTACTGTGCTGTCTGGAGGTCATGTCATACGTTCTGTGTACCTTTATTATGTTTTTCGTGGCCAAAGATGCTGTCATCAGGCACAAGGTAAAGTAAAGCAAGGATCAGTCAATCAGAAAGGTATTCACAGAGGCAGACACTCATAGGCACACCCTCACTTCACAGTAAACTGGCCAAATATGTTTTGAGGCAGAGGGAGGAAATCTGTGTATACACCCTGGCAACCATCCTCCCCCTGTTTTCTTTGCACAATGACAGGGCATTGTTAAATGCATAATGTACATTTTTGTTTTCCCGTCAAAATAGCAGAAGCAAAACTTTATGTGTAGCTTTCATGACAGCAAATTGTGCCTATTAAGAATTAAAAGAAAAACTATGCTTTTGTTCTTTTCACAATACACCCAATGTGGATGAATCCACTAAAATTTCCAGCCTTTCATTTTGTACCTGTACCTGAGCCAAATTATACCTATGTACTTAACAATTGCATAATCAGTTTATTTGTGTTGATAGTGAGGTATGATGATTAATAATCAGGGGATAAATAATCAGGGGCATTGGGTGGTTCAGTTGGTAGAGCGTGAACACCATGTGCAGCGGCTACAGTCCTTGACGTCGTTATCCTGGGTTCGATTCCTGGTTTCAGACTGTTTGCTGCATGTGTTCCTCCTCTCTCTCCACTCTATTTACTATTCAATAAATGACACTAGTGTCGAAAAAAGATCATAAAAATCATTAAAAAGGTTTAATCTTGTTAAGAATGTAATCTTTTGTATATCATTTGCTGAATATTTGATATTAAACCCAATGTCCATTCACTGTGATTTCAATCCTTGTTTGGATCAGCAGACTCTAATCTAATTATGAGAGATTAGGAGCCCTGATCAACCCAAAATAACTTTGGATGACTGTCTGCAGACAGATATAATTCATATGGGTCACATAACCCCTTTTCCTAGCACTTGCATGTGACCAGATTATTAAATAGTACCTTATATCATAGATAGTTAATATGGAGCATCCTTAAGGCTGGTACACATTGGTGCACAGCTGGTAACAAAAAACTCCTTTGGTATCCAGAACAATTCTGGGTACAAAATGATCAAAAAGTACAAACTTGCAAACAAACTAAATGACCATAAATACACTTAAACGACTGATAATCATAAAGTTGGATTTAGAGGTTGGTCTTTGATATTTGAACTGAAGAAGACGCAGGTTGATACAGTGGCAATGTGACTGATATATAATTATACAACAGACTCTTTTTAAACCACCAGTAAAGAACAGAGTAATGCATATAACTCGCGGTACATAGACCCAATGGATGTCTCAGTTACTCTCAATTTAAAAGAAAAATCTAAAAGATAAAAACGCAGACCAGCCAGTTGTTCCCTATGGCCATGCACAGCTGTGAATATTAGAACAGCAATAAATTCCCCAATTAACATGCAAGTCTCCTTCTGCCACTTTGCAGCTGATTATGGGTGAAATACTGCTTTTTTTCCTAAAATCAAACATTTCTATTGGAAATGTTTAGAGCAAGATTTTGCATATCTTTTGAAATCTTCTACCATCATCTGTTGGGATAAGAGCATCACAGGCAGTGACTTCAAAAGAGTAAATGGGGTGATAAAGAATCCTGCTTCTGTTCAGGGGACTACTGTAGAACCTTTGGAGATTACGTCATAAAATGAAGAACATTACGAAAAACCCTGATGAGTCTGCTCATGACAATGATATACAACAACTGCCTTCAGTCAGAGGTTTCTAACATACCTCAGTAATACAGTCTTCTACAGGAGCTTCTTTGTTAACTGGATTATTCTACTGTTAACGAATATTCTTCAAAAACAGCACAGGCTGAAATTTGAAAACTTTATCTTATTTCAGTTTGGGTTCTAAAATCCCAAAAAGATTACTGAAAGCTTTTTTTTTCTGGCATCTGGATGAAGTTACGCTGACATAAGCAAGATAACTGCAGTATAAAAAAATCTGTCAAAATTGGACTGGTATAATTAAAACTGACTATGTTCTTTAATTAACGTGCAGTTTTGATTTTTAAAAGGGAGAAAATGGGAATAATTTTTAGAGAAATCACTTTCTGTTATCATTATTGAAACCCCAAAGGTAAAATTCTAGGTGAGTGAAACTGTGGATAACAGAGCTATTTGTAATTCGCTTCATTCAGTTTATTGAAAAGCTGTAAGCTTGTTCAATTGTTGAAAAAAGGAAACAAGTCAGACGGAAGGCGGTGCAAACATATGGAAGAAAGTGCTCTTGTTACACCGGATCAAAGTTAAGCTTTGTGGTTTAAATACAAAGTGTGTGGTGTAGAAATAGAAAAATAAAAACATATATGTTTAAAAGAAAACACTGAACAATGAAACATGGTAGTGATATTCTCATCATGTGGCCATGCTTTTCACTGGGGCAGGTCACTTACTAATTAGCAGACTGTGAGTTGTTTATGTTCTTTCTTGCTAAGGCTTTAATTTTGAAATAATTCACTATGCCTAAAATTAAGCAAATACTTTATTTATCCAAACAAATAATGTTATAAGTATTTTCTGGGTTTTTCAAGGGTAACAAAATGCTAACACTGCATAACCTAAGTGATGATGGAACTAATTTAGGAGAAAATCTTTAAAAAAAAAAAGCCATTGTAGTCTGTTGCAGGATTTTATGAAACTGATTATGTTTATTAGTAGCCTTGTAATTTGCCCAGGGACAGAAGTGAGCACAATCAATATGACTGCTGTTGCCCACACCCTACATGCTTGACGTTGTTCACGTGCAAAAACTCCCTTGAGGATAATATCCCATATCATGATCTCCCCTTTACTTCCACGGTGTATGTGACGTCTACCTCTTACACACACATACACAAATGTTGGTCTCGTAACGTCAACACACACTCATTTACTGACTCACTTTGTTTTTTTTTCCCCCTCCACTTCTTTCATCCTGCTCTTCTTATTAACTTCAGGCTGTTTCTTAACGAGGACTATCACATGTTCCTTTCAGCCTGACTTGTGTTTTAAGCATTAGACCTCACCTTACAAGCACTGAGGAGTGTTTTCAGAAGACACAGGGTGACTGCATGCATGTAAAGCCTACTTCATTTGCCCTGTCATGATTAATCTCCCATCAACATTATGACCGATCTATAATAGCAGCCCATTGGGGGTCATGCCCGTGCAACCATGTATCGACCTGTTCCAATTGCAATATTGAATACAGCTTCAACAACACTTCCTTTATGTGTGTTTTTATGGATTTTCCACAATGCAGCAAAACTGATATGACAGTAGCCTTGTGAACTGATGAGATACAGTGTATTTTGGCGTTACAGTAAGCACTTTGAGACTGCAGGCCTTGCCAGTGCAAAGGTTAGGGTGTGTTTCATTACTGACACCATGTTTTGTATCCTTGTTTTGATGGAACAGAACAGCACAGTTTAAAAAAGAAGGCAGAGGTTCAGCTGAAAGAGGAACCCCATCCACATTCCATATCAGAAAGATATCAGAAAGATTTCTATTGAAATTATTTAAAAAGTTTGTATTGTGTATATTTATTCCTGTCAGGCAAATCACCCACAAAGTACAAACTTTGTGTAACAATGTTAAATTAATGTTTTGTGATCCATGATTAGAAGGATCATCATAACGGTTATTGCTGAGGTTTTATTTTACACAGCTAAGCACGTTGAAGCACTTTAAAGATCATACAATGAGCTATAACTAGACCCTATTTGAAACGAGCAATTTCCTTCCAAAATAAAGATAAAAACTAAAAGGGAAGATAGATAACACACAAAACGCACTAAAGACTAAAAGGCTAAGTTTATTATCTAAATAATTAATCAAGCCTACACACAAAATTAAAACATTCAAACAGCCTTCTGATGCGATAGTAAAAAACTGACATTAAAGTTTAAAGCAGCCAAATGGAATAAGTTTGATTTAGAAAGGAAAAAAGTTGGACCCAACAGCACAGCTCCATTCTTTAGAGATGCTGGATTATTAAACGAGTCTTACCTGCGCACTTGGTTTGTCAGTCTGATGTCTTCCTTTCTCAGCCGTGAAGGTCCTTTTTTAACATTCAGCCATGCGTGGGCTCCGCAAAGTCCCACAGCTGTTTCTCGCTGAGCACCTTCAGCCTTTTGGACCAGGATGTTCCGATCCAAGCGGCTGCAGTGCCCGTCTCGCTGGCTCCGTTGGCTCTCCGTCCTCAGACTCAGCTTCTCTCCTTCGCCTGCTCGCCGCATCGACGGACTTCCCCCGTTTAATGCAGGTGTGGCGGCGCGCGGCGGCAGGGGACGCTGCTGGGTGGAGACAGAGAGGAAGAGGCGCCCAATCAACGGACGCACCGCCGCGGGTCTTAGCGGGGAGCCCCGCACGTGACGAGAGCCAATAACACATAAAACCCCGAGGGGGGACAGATTTATTGAACAGAAGTCTTTTTAACAACTCCAGACCATCTGTGATAGATCAGTCGGCCAATAGAATGGAATAGAAATATCCTTTATTATCCCCTCAGGTGTAACAGCACCTGTGGAATAATAAAGTGGAAACAATAACCTCTGGACACTGACTGGATATGCATGACCTCCAACTAATATTAGCTCTGGTATTCCGTTTTTTTAGAAACGTCAATACAAATACAGAGGTGAAATATAATAATGTGCAAGAGTGAAAACTGCAATTAAAAATTTTTAAGCATTAATCAATATGTTACAGTCTTTGTGGCAAATGCCAAAATCTGCTTTATTTTAGAAGTAGCACTTTCACAAGATTCAGTGAATTTGATTAGCAGCATCTAGATGCTAATTTCTCTCTGAAATCTAACTGAAATGTACAATTATTGTAAATTCATTTTCTTAGGACTGAAGCATTTAACAATGTGAATAGGATATAAAGGTAAGTCTGAAAGTAAAGTAAGTGATTTCTCTGACTTAAAAAGAATATTACAAAATGGCATTTATCCAAGCAGTTCTTGAAATGACCACTTGAAGGCATACAATCATTTCTCACACCTGGTTAATATTAAGTTGTGCTGATTAATATCTTCATTGGCATTTAACATATTCCCTTTCGATCAGGTTCACCTTCATTTGGGTAAAGATGGCATTTTCTTTAAGTTCATGGTTTGGTCTGGGTTTGTGTTCCTTAATTAGTTCAGATTTTATAGCTTTTATTAGTTTATATAATATAGAAGTTTAGTTTGAAAGTCACAGAGCAAAGTAATATTTGGTAAGGCTCTTTCATAGGCAATACAATTCGCAAACTTACTGTCTCTTCCAAAGATTTATATACAATCACACATAATGGGTTTTTCAAATTATTATAAAATATGTGATAATTTAAGAGCTTTTGGATAGTAGAAGATAGGGTTCAGAAAGCATTTATGTTTGTGAACTCATCTCTGAATATGTAGCATTATTTGTGCCTCTTCATCAGCCCAGTGGTAACAGTGTGGATCATATTCAGCATTTCAGCAGGTTTCTTTCTTGCAGTGCTTGTTCTTCAAGTTTGATATTTCCATCCTTATCAGGGCTGTGATCCAAAATTAGATCAAGTACCTCATTCATGGTTCGTCACTTACGTATTGTGGTGCTACCGCAGAACTGTCATGTGCTGGCAGAAAAACCGTTATTTATAGACCAAAGCTACAGGAGCTGATTAGTGTACTTGTGTTGGTTACAGTATTGTGAATGTGAAAGAGAATCTGGGAAGTGTGAAAGTGGGACTGCATCTGGATGCAGAAACACTTTTGTCATTGTGTTTGTTCATCACACGCATCACAGCACCAATTTGTGTGTCTTCTCAGCATTTCATTGTTTTATTTGAAAGAAAATACCTTCTATTTCAGTTGGTTGGGCTGATAAATAATCTTGGTGTGTGATATAGCACATTGATCAAGGTGTCTCTGACTCTAAGACTGAATGATTGATTCTCTTTGGCTGAGCCAAGACTAGCTCACATCCATTTAGCTGCTGTAATGCGCAGTGATATGTCATAATTGGAATCATATAAAAACACTATTCTTCAGAGTTAAGGGTAAATTTTTATAATAGTTCACTTAAAAAAAGACAAAAGTATATTGAACCAACATGGCTAAGACTGACTATTTCCAGATGGAATAAATCTGCTTTACTGAACTTAATCCCATTTATTGTCACTTGCTTTTATATCATGAATTTGCTGGTGTTATCCTTCCTGGTGTTGTCCGATTCCCTGGAGACTTAACTCGATGGTGTTGGACTGGATGCATTTGCAATTATGGTGTATTGGTTAAATAAGAAACACAGATACAATCACATGTAAACAAGTTTGTGCATGCAATAAGTCGTCAACAAACATGCCGACCCATGTTCCTTCAAATACTTCCTGTTTTTGTGGTTTGCGCCAGTGGCAACATCCGGTTGTTGATCATGTGACTTGTGTGTTTCCATTGCAGTTTTGTAAAATAAAGTCATTTTCATACAATCAAAAGCTCAAAACATTCTAGTGCCAAAAGTTTTTCCATTTAGTAGATTTTTTTTTCAAAATGTCAAATTGTGCAATGATATGGTCAAATGAAATGCAGCAAGATGGTTTTTATACAACATAATAATTTTATTCATTCATGGAAAATTGATTAATTTGATATACTTCACTTGAATTACTTTTAATTTCTTCCTAAGTGTTAGTCCTTCACTGTCCCCTATTTCTGTCAGAAACATTAAAATAATTTGAAAGCATAAACACTTCAAGGCAAAACAAGTTGCAAAATTGGACTTCAAATATGGCCTTTTTCTCTGATGTCTGCTCACTGCTTAGAGGTTGACAGCCTGTGAGTCTCAATGAGTTGTTTTCCTTCAGTTGCTCTTCGTGGCTGGAAGACTCCATCTGTGTCTATCATGTGCAGAGCTCCACCTGGAAGACTTATGAGCAGAACTGTGACAGACTGTCAGCAGCAGTGACACTGGCATAAGAAAACATCACATTTCCTCCAAGAAGAAGCATGACTATGTCATCAAACAGCAATCTTTCCAACAAAAAAGATTGGCAGTATTTTGAGAGTGGGTAAATCATATTTAGTCTAAACTCAAAACAAAGAGATATCTAAAACATACACAGATTGATGGGCAAACTTAAATGATCACTTTGGGATCATTAAGGTGTTTTTGAATTTGAATTTGAAAAGCATTTTCTTAATAGAAATTACATATCACAAAGTTATTTCTAATACCAAATGTTATAAAAATAAAACAATTTGTTGACTGACTTAAAAGTTCAAAATCTGCTTTTTTATGAACTTTGCTTTTTGATTTGTTTTTCAATTAACATATGGTTCCCCTCAAAGAGTTTGCACATTGGCTCTTATTTAAATTCAAGAAATCTTCTACATCCAGTCCTAGTTTAAATTTTCCAAAGCTTTGAAACCCAGAGTTGGTCATCAAATAACCCAGCGTGATGTCCAGGATATTCTCAAAAAAGATTTTAAGAATTATCGAACCATGACTGCTCAAAAGGGAGCAACACAAGATGCACACATATGATTGAATTTTGCAAAGGCTCAGTAAATACACCAGCACTGACTGGGTCCCTGATCCTTGATCTAAAAGGACCAATATCTCATTTCCATTTAAATTAAGACCACCTTGTCAGTTGGCTGATACTGCAACTGTCATCAATGATGCTGGAAAAAGAAACTTTGTTTCTTACCAATAAAAGTTCCAACATGATCTCTTCATCTATACAAGATATAGACTGATTACTCTAGTGACAAAAACTAAGATGATGCCTTTTAGAATGAAAACAGCCCAATTAGTGCATAAAGTGGATGTAAAAAATTAAAAGGATAAAAAAAAACAAACAAACAAAAAAACATTTGATCAAACTTAGATGATTTGAGTGAAATCCCAGATCAACTTATGGGAAAAATGTTTAAATAGTTGAACAACAAGGTGACTAAAGATGGACTTAAAAAATATATTTAAAAAAAGGTCACTAGCAGATGAGTTTGCTTTTGCTATATTCTAAAAATGCACAGTTTTAGAACATTTAGGGAAAAAAACCCTCAAAACCATATTGTTATTAAATGTCTTATAACCTTAACAACTTTAAATGAAACAAGGATGACCAAACACTTCTTTCAACATGCCTGACATTCTTTCTTAAAGCGCACCCATAAGCTGATTACCACTACATTATCATAGTTATTTGCGAAGCCATAGCAATGAGTAGTAACCTGTCACAGTTTGTGTCTGTCTTCAATGATGAAGGCACCACCTCTGCAAATCCATAATTGCCTTAATTCCTGCACCTGTTCCACTCTGCTTAAATACCCTTCTGTTTCACCTGCTCTCTGCCAGATTGTGTGAAGCTGTCCTTGTCTCAGTGGTTCAGTGAACTGGTCCTGTGGTTTTATTTTCTCCTAAACCTGTTTTCTTGTCCACACTTTTTGTCGGGTCCCACTGTAAGTTGCTTTTAATTCAGCTTGATGTCAGTAGCTACACCATTAAACATGCAAAGCCTGTTTAATGGCTTTGCATTTAGACACATGGATTGGCACTAGTATTTTGAGTTTTTGCTTTATAATCTGGAATTTTCTCCATCTGCCCCTCTCCAGTTGTCTTCTCTTTAACGGTTTCTCTGATGAAACGTCCCTCCCTCAGTCATGCAGTCAAAAAAATCTGCCTTTCCTGATTTTCTACTGCATCCATTCAGAAAAGGCAATAGATCTGGCCAATGATGCTGTTGCCTCATCTTTATATTTCTGCACTGTAGTTTTGACTCTCAACCTGCAACTCTTAACCCTACAGCAACTGAAACCTGTAACTTTCAATGCATTTGGTTTTACTTGAACTATCAATGCCACTTTCAATTTATTCTGCTTTTTCTAGAGCACCTACTCCTAATCCATTGAACATGGTCAAGAAACAAAGGATATATATTTATAAACATGAATTTTTATCTACTGTCGAATGTGGGACATGCTCTGTGATGCTGTGGGCCTATTTCTCTTCCAAAAGCCCTGAAAACAGAGCAGCGTGCATAGCAAAATGAACTCTTTACAATATCCACCCAATCCATTCATCCATCTATGAAATATCCAGATGTTTCACATAACAATTTGGTGGAACCTACCAGAAAAGTGAAATTGGACTGCCGCAGGGCCTGTGAGCAGGATATTAATTATAGCCAGATGGCTGAAACAACACAGAAGTTGCTCTGTGTTGTTTCTTGTCAGGGAAGATTTTTATCCTTCTCAATATAAATGTA